GATGATGGTTGTTGTGGTGCACCGTATGATGATGACGGTCGTGACGGCGCTCCGTATGATGATGATGGTTGTGATGGTGCACCATATGAAGAAGATGGTTGTGGTGGTGTACCGTATGATGACGATGGTGGAGGTGGTGCACCATAAGAAGAAGGTAGCATTGGAGCATCATATGTTAAAGAAGGGAAAACTTTTAAAGAAGATGATCCATATGAAGGTGATTGACTTTGCGACGGTGCTCCATAAGAAGATGACGGTGGTGCTCCATATGACGATGATGGTGGTGCTCCATATGATGATGACGGTGGTGCTCCATATGATGATGATGGTGGTGCTCCATATGATGACGACGGTGGTGCTCCATATGATGATGACGGTGGTGCCCCATATGACGATGATGGTGGTGCCCCATATGATGATGAAGGTGGTGCTCCATATGAAGATGATGGCGGAGCTCCATATGAAGTAGAAGGTTTAAATCCTCCTCCTGATGGTGGTCCATAAGATTGCGTTGGTTTTGATGGAGGGCCATATACTGGTTTAGGAGGTCCATATTTTGGCTTTGGTGGTGGTCCGTATACGGGTTTTGGTGGTCCGTATACGGGTTTTGGTGGTCCGTATACGGGTTTTGGAGGTCCATAATTTGGTTTTGGTGGACCGTATTTCGATTTTGGCGGAGGTCCATATTTAGGTTTTGGTGGTGGACCATAAACTGGTTTAGACCAACTATTAGATTTTGGTGGCCCATAAACAGGCCTGGGTCTTGATGGCTTTGGTGGTCCATACTTTGAAGGGGGTTCTCTTCGTATTCTAACAAGTGACTTTTCTTCGGCTTTTACTATGTTATAGAAACTTATTAAAGTAGTCAGTAATAATATCTGTAACAAAAACAAATACTTATTTAATTTAAAACGAATGCAGTTAGAAATACTGGTTAAAAATACTATAATGTCAAAGAAGTGAGATGTGTTGCTATGTATAGTAATTTTCATTGCAAAAATCCTAGTAATAATAGTTAAAGCTTAGATAATATTTATAAGAAATAAGAATACAATATTCATAAGTCATAAGTCAATAATCTATTTTATAAAAAAAATTATCTAGCTATAATTAGCTACAATTTATATTTTATTCATTAAATTAAAATTTTTTTTATTACTTTGGAAAATTTAAGACTTTTCATATTTAAATTTTTATAATATAATTTTTAGTTAAGTTTATTAAAATACATTAATTATTAAACAAATACATTATTATTTATAATTCATAATTTTTTTCTTTTGAATGTACATTAAATAAATTTTAAATGCTAAATCTTAAATTATTTTTATTAGTATTGAGCACTTAAGAGCTAATACAACGAGTTAGATGCGCTTAAACATATTTTGAAATTTGATGATTTATTATTGCTTTTAAACTTTATAACATCACTATTGGTGGCTCATAAATTTTTCTGTACAATACTTTTTTGTTTATTATGTATTGGTATTTGTTTGTAAAGTTATTTACACATTTTGTAACTATAATATAGTGTATATGTACGGGCAAACGTATAGGAAACATCAATGTATCGAGGTTATGCTGTTTATTATTATTTTTTTTTTTAATATAAATTTTAATAGTATTGAAATAAAATTAAAGGTATGTTTATTATTATGCATAATATATGTTAATTAATTATTAAAAATCATTAATAACTATTTAACGGATAGTAAAATTTAGTAGAAATTTCTAAAATTCTAAAATGTTTAATTAATAATTTTAAAGAAGTTTTTACACGTTACTAGTGGTAGGTACCTACTTAGGTAAAAAATGTAAATAATCTTTACATGAATGTATAAATAAAATTAAGTACATAGATACGTTTTTATACATTGTCTGAATACAGTAATTTTTTTTTTTAGCGTATATAAAGTTGAATATATTTTAGTAATATAAAAATAATATACGTTTTCATGAATTTGCATATGAAGATATTTTATTTATTTTTTGGTTATAGTGTAGCTTTATTAAAGTAAAATTAAAAAAAAATAATGTGGATAATATAACATAAATAGATCTAGCGTAGAGTAGTGATTACTCTACGTATTGATTAATTGTTAGACAAATTTAGATGTAAAACATTTTAGAAATGAACATAATTGAAAAGTGAATGTATGAATATAGATTAAATTTGAAGTTAGTAATCTTGTATCAATTTTTTATATACTTTGTTAATAAAGTGTAAAATAAGATAGATTCAACTTTAATTCCACACTATTTATTTAAACTAAGTAGCGATATAATAGAGATTTAGTATTGGTTTTAAAATTATTGTTTAATGTTTTATATTTTTCGTGTATAATATTATTTATTTATAGTGATAAAAAAGCTCCAGTGGTTTCATGAAACATTTGTATTGTTGGTATTTTGAAATAATAGGTTTCAGATTTTCTTAATAGTTTTTTTGTATGTAAAAAATAAAAAACTTGATATACTATAATGCGAATACTTACGATTATCGTTTATACATCAAAGCCAGTGGATTATATTGTCTTTTATACATAAATACTTGAAAATCTTTTTCAACGAAATTTTTTTTTTTTGTTTTATTGATATTTAAGAATTTTTAATGACGAATTATTTTGATTTTATAGCACTGAATTTTTAATTTATTTTTTAACTTTGGTTTATAGTTCTTGGACATACAATTTTATTATCTGGTCACACATAGATCCCTATTACCATTAATTTATTTATATGTTTTTTGAAAATATTATTTCATTCTTATAAGCATCATAATATAAATACCCCTTCATGTTTCGTCATACTCAGTCATTATTTTATTCGAATTAATTATTTTAATTAAACTTTTATTATTGTCTTATGCGTTTTTTTAATTAATCTATACTTTTAATTATCCATAAATAATTTATTAATTGAGTCTTTTATTATTATTTATTATACCTAAAATATTATTTTAAATATCATTAAATGTTATTATTTCATCGTATTTATATATATTACATATATATTTATGTTTTTTGGCCTCAGAAATATTATAATAAAATAAAATATATATATATATATTTATTTGTATGTTTATATATTTTTTAAATGTCTTTTATAAATTATACAATTATTGAAAACAAGTGAGCTCCGCTCACATTCGTTTTAATTTTTAATGTAACGGTTTAATGTTCGAATTAAATGTTCATAATGTAATAATAATAATAATTTATTCAATAATTCTATACCGAAACAGAATTAGTGTTGAAAATCTGGTGTCTGTATCCTGTTATTTGTGTTTATTGAGATTAATAGTTTTTATGAAGCGTATTAATATAATATAGATGTTCAAGGAACATAAATAAATATCTTCTTTTTTTTTTTGATTTTTTTAAAAACGGGTTGTGCAGTGCCCAAAAACCAAGCACCCATTACTTAATCTAGTATTGTCATTTAATAATGTCAATTGTTTAAGTGTTTGGTACTTGGCAAATCGAAAATACGTATTATGATAAGTCATGTCGCTTAGATAACAGATTAAATTCATCAATTGTTTATGTGTGTGACACATAATTTTTTCTGCATTCTAGTATATCCTATAATATTTTTGTATAGTTAAAATTTGCATACAATTTCATTTTTTTCACTCGAATAAGACTTAAGTTACCTGATTATTTGAAGTTGTCTAATAGACGAATTAATAGAATATACGATTATACTTCTCAATAAGATGACGTTTGTATATTGAGAGATATTTAGATTTTGTTGTATGTATATTTTGTACAATTACTTACGGTACTTATACACAGTACACGAGATGAGACGTACCCGGTTTTATAAAAGAAATTTTAAAATACGTACGATTCAATTTTAATGTCTTATATATTGGTAATCACGTGTTAAGTGGAAACCCATTGTAATTGAAATAATACCCGTATGTTTATTTTTTATAATTTGTTAGTTTCGTGTACATGTGTTCATATGAAAGTAGAATAATGAGATCGGGCCATCGGGGCATCGTTATGAATATTACAAAATACAACTATAGGTAGATATACCGGATGTTCAGGACAACATTTCTGACCACTAGTTCTAGTTGATATGTTGACCTTCATCTACTGGCACCGATTCTTCGACCTATGTTTATGACCCCTTGTTTTATTCTTTCTAATTTTGATTAAAAATATTAACCCCATTGATGAAATTGAATTTAAATAATTTTTAAATGTAGAAACTATTAAAAATAATGTTCTGTAGATACTAAAACAAAAGTTCCAAATAAATCTTATTAGTATCATTGAGTAAAATGTTGTCTATTTAGTTTATTTGTTTATATTGCAATTTTAAATGTTACATTATTTAAATTAATTATTAAATAGAATACAAAATAAGTACAGCTATTAATGGTTTTAAACATTAGTTTATACATTGAAAATTAGGTTATTTGAAACCTTTAATTATACCCATAACTGTGATACTACTATAAACAGCTATGCATTATAAAACAAACTTAAAAATTCGTTAGTAAAACGAAACAGTTTGAAGATTTTTATATTTAAACACAATATAATGTTTTTGATTATCATCTAATTGAAAATTTATAATTATATTTATAATGCTTGTTGGTACTATTGTTTTCACTTTATTATGTTATTTCAAATTTCAATACGTGTTCCAAGTTAAGTAAGACAGGTCATCTTTGAAAAGACAAACAAATTACATTTCAAATACTATACAAATGATATTAATTGACATATGTGAAAAATAGAATTATACTTTCACTGGAAATCATTGTTATTCATTTTTATAGAACAGTATTAAAATAGCGTTGATGGACGACTACCTATTCTATTATATTCGGTTGAATAAAACATTTTGGAGTTATAACTTTTTAATACAGTAATCACTGATCGTGTAATGTATATAAGAAAGTTAAAATATAATAAGAAATGTAAAATGTGATTTAAATCATTGGGTGTACTAATTACGTTATAAATATTTTATCTGGCTTTGTTAATATTGCATAACTTTATTATGTTTTCGTACCTACTTATTTAATAAATTCGATTCCTTATTCTGTTTTAAACATGTAAATTATGAGTGAGGTATTTACTTACTTGCTACCTATATTGAATCAATATAAATACTGGGCTATATTTTTTCACCAAATTTATAATTTACAATAGCAAATCGTCGGGGTTAATATAATAAGCAAGTATACAATTTAAGAAATACATTTTTTGCTTAATTTTTAATTCTAGGAGAGTAAAGTTATTTTTAATGTCCATCCAGTAAAATTTAAACTTAAATAAATTAAAAAATAAAGTTTAATTTGAAAATATTATTACAAATCTTTTACAAATAGTTAAAATTGTATGCATTTTATAACTGTATAAAAATTTTAAATTGTTATATTTTTCATATATGAATATAAATAGATCACGTTAATTTATTTTAGATTATAAACTGTACATTCTAACTTGATATTACTTTTTTATTTAAACAAATTGCTTTGAAAATTCAAATGGCTGCCCATTTCAAATATATTAAAGATATCTATAAATGATATTTCTAAGAAATTATTTTATAAATTTCTTAATATTTTTTATTAAAATTGATTACATACATGACTTACGCGGGAGACTCGTGAATTGAGAAACTGATTGATATTTGTATAAATTCTATAATCTTTTTAAATGTCTTACATTCTAGAGACTTTTAAATGATCATTTATTTCGACGTGTGTTATAATTTACAAAATGATTAAATGGGTTTTTTACTTATTTTAATTTTTTTCCCCTTTAAAAATTAACTTTTTACATTTTAAATTATTTTATTTTCATTAAATAATAATTGGTAGTAGGTATTTTATTTTTTAGATTCGCTATAAAAAGGTGCTCTTAGTTTTAATTGAATTTTCAGTATTTTATTTCAGTATAAAGGTATATATTTTTTATTTTCAATATAAAGTTACTCAACTGCCGTATTTGTTCAATTAAATACATTATTCATTTATTTTCATTCACTCTTTGTACTTGAAAAAACATTTTTATAAACATGTAGATTTCTATTATATCATATTTATATTTAGTCTATAAACTATTTATAGTATAGAACTTCATTTCGCATGAAATGATTTATTATTAATTTAAAATTCACGGTAGATAGACATTATCCTATATAAGCTTATGACATAATAGTAAAAAAATTGAAAAACTAGTGCCAAATTTACAATTTTTAAACTTTTTGGAATTTGTTATTTTATAATTTTTGTTTTAAAATGTATACAATATAATAATAATAATAATAATAATAATAATAATAATAATAATAATAATAAAAATAACTAAAAAATTATTTTAAGTGTATTATAATATTATGAGGCAAACACAAAAAATAAAAATAGTAATAATTAAAAAATTAAATTACTCTTATGACTATTTGAATATTAAAATTAAAAAAATATTTTAGATAAAACATTATAATATAGGAGTTGGCAAAATATATGGTGGCTGGTGAGTGTAGTGATTGTGAAGTGAAAAAGCCCTATGGTATAAATGTATAACCTTGACGAATGTCTTAGAAGTATTGTACCGTTATTTATTATTATTTACTTAATATTATTATGTGTTATCTGCTATATGTAAATTATATATATTTTTAAATACTATGTATTATATATGTATTTAATATTACAGTTGTATATTATACATTTAGATTTTGTTTACAGAAATTTTAAAGTCTTTAAATATTATATTTAATATGTTTCAGTATAAGTAAATAGTATGATATGAAATTCATTTTAGAAATGTGTTATATGGGTTATTAATGTTGTGCTATACATATATACAAATATATATAGATTTATTACTGCTTATTAAATAGTAATTAAAAAATAGTTAATCTGTTTTTTTTTTGGTCATTAATATTTTGATAAGTATACATCATAGATACAAATATTGATTTTTAAAATATTCAACATTGGGTCCAAAATCCTAAATAAAATAACAACAAACAATTAAATTGATGATTTGATGTAAATACTATTTTAATTTTAACCAATTGATTATTCCAAATCTTTCATCAATGACAGTATTTTTATGAATGCATTTTCTTAAATTTTTGTATTAACATACTATTAGATGTATATTATATAAGTTTATAGTTTATGTGAACATTATGATTAATTAATGAATAGCTTAAAGACTATATCTCGTGCAATGATAATTAGTTAGTATTTCAGTACATGGAACTAGATTATTCTAAAACCTCTCGCTTTTAATATTAATAATGCATTAGTGAATTATCACTAATGAAATCTTCGCGGAAAACCGTGAAAGTATATAAGATATTAAATTTACTTGTAAAATAAAGAAGGGGGAGGGATCTTCTCTTTTGTCATCTAAGAAAAGTGAAAATGAATGTCTTACCTCCGTGTGATTTATGTGCTTTTGTTTATATGGATTTTTAAAGTTAATTTCTATTTTAGTGGTTACTTTTGAATATGGTTATTACGTCTTTTAATTATTTGTTCATTCATTTTTAGTATTAAATTAAAGTAATCAATGGTTTATAAATAAATATTGTTTATTTGATCAAAAATATATGTTTTTGAGATTAATAATACAATATTGGCTATAAAATAATTGCCCATTATACATATTTATGATTTTTTATATTAATTTATATGCTATCTTTGTATTATTAATTTATTCAATTAAAAGTTAAGTGTTTAATGAATAGATATTTAACTTAAGTATAGGAAAACTAAAATGTTAAACTATTGTTCTTTTAATAATTTTATATTTATTACATTATTGTATTAACATACTACATTAAATGAATGCATTAGAGAACATTTTAGAAAAACCATAAATTATATTTTGAAAAATCCATTAAAAAAAAAATAAAAAAAAATAATGATGCAAGTATTTATTTTTAGTTGGTAATTAACATTAAAATTAATTTTACATAACACTTAGGCTAAAAATCGAATTAAGTAAACCTATTTATAAATTTATAAATTATAAAGTATTAAATATTTGTTATAGTTGTCAATATTTTAACGTTTATAAATTCAATAACGTGAATATTATAAGAAACTGTATAATTTATAATTTAATTTTTTTTTTTTTCTCTAAAACTTAAAATTATTTAATTCTTTGTATTTTATTTTGAATATTTGACCATTTAAGTAATAAGTACAATTGTTGAGACTATGTTATTGACATAGATTTTTTTAAATAAGGGAGTGGAATGAGGTATATTGAATTTAGAGATCTAGCTTCAGACTTCTTCCAAATTTTCCTTATAGGTTCAAGTATCAATTACCAATATTGTTTTGATAAATACTTAATCTTTACTTTCAGAAGTGGTGGTGAGTGTCAATGAACTCATAGACAGTTAAGAACGATTTCGTACTTTTATTTTATTCATTTATTATTTAATAATTTTTCTTTATAAAATATATAAAAATATTAACCGATGGCTAGTTCTATCTATTTTCCTCGAAAATTTGATGGATCAATCAAGTATTTTTTCTTTATTATTATATGCAAATTAAGTAGGCAAAATACATATCCACAAGCCATAACCTAAGTTAATCGTGTACTTATTCATTTATAAGTTTGAGTTTAAATGATTTGGAACATTTATAAAAGGTTAATTACATTTTAAAAGTATATTTAATTTTTATAAGATTTATAAAAATTTAATTTATTATGATTATGTATTAAATCTATTTATTTTTGCAACTTTTTATTAATTTTTATTCAAACTTATAAAACATATTAAATAAAGTATTTATTATTTAACACTGAATAATGTTCGGTGAATTTTCAGTTAAGCCTGTGTATGGAAGTTAAAAGTTGATGTTGATGCAATATATTAATATTGATATTTAGGAGAATTATTTTAACAGTAAAAATATTCATGGATCTTATTTAAAAGTATTACATTTTTTTGAAAATTGTATGAACATAAGAGCAATATTAAATGTTAGAATTACATGTAGGTATTTTAAAATTTCCAGGAAGGAAATTTGTAAAAAAGTATACTTTTATATCTTTTAAAAACATTTAAAATTATCTAAATTTTTGGTTTTTGTTTTATAATATATAAATAAAATGCATTCGAATTTATTTAATCGGAGATCGCTATATATTTGAATATCAATAAAAAAAGTCCATAAAATCGTTATATTTATTTATATCTTGAAATTTCATATTATTTTTAAAGTTTATGTAGTTAGGTAGTAATGGTGTGATGTGTAGTGAGAGATGCTTAAACTCCATTTGTATGAATAATTTTTCCATTTTTAAACTATTACTTCGTTATTATTAATCCTATAGCTTTATTAATAAACACAAACATTCAAATATTATTTGGAATGAAGATAAGTATTATTTACCAATTATTTCTCATGTATAATTTGTATAAAATTAAGTGCTTCAGTGTTAGTCATAAACTATTATTTTAAAATCATCCGTGGTTTATATTGATGAATAATTGTTTAGTTATGTATTCATTTTAGTTGGTTATCAAATAACTTACTGTTTGAGCAATCCGTTTAGCCATCATGTTGTTGTTTGTTCTAACCTAGAATAGGTAATAATCCGATTAAGAAAAAAAAAAAATAACTGTATAGACTTCACTAAATGTCCAATAATTTCAATGCATAAATGAAAAAGTAAAAAAAAACAACACTGTCGATAGTTATTTTAGCTGGTAATGTATAACCGATAACGATGGTGATCTTTACCGCGGGTACACGGTTGTTAACACTTAGCGCGCACTAGTCGCGAATTGTCGATGTAGAGCGACGTCTTGAAACCCACTGCTGGTTCGTCGAGTTGTCTCGGCGGACGTCTTCTTCTCTCGCCAACGTTCTGCAGCGTAGCACCCGGAACTTACTTTCCCACTTACACTCCGTGAAAAATACCACGATAGTCGTAATCCCATAAACCCACTGAACATTTTATTTTTATTTTTTGTGTACCTCTCTTTCTCTCTCTCTTACTCTACCTCGTTTGTAATTGATATGTAGCTGACCGTGAATAATATAATAATACGAGCGCGTGAGGCCGTTTCGAGTTCCTCAATCTATTACTGTCCACGGTGGTACGAAACTTTCATCGCGTCAAAAGAAAGCCGCGAGGTGCGTAATTAAGATTGTTTTGCATGATGGTGACTAACTGTGTAACGTCAGTGATAGACCAGTTTCTTACGAAAAAATCTCCTAAATATTATTAAATAAATTCCAGAAAACGTGTTTTTGCTAACAATAATTATCAGTATTGTAAAGTATTTCAGTAACAGTATTTTAATATTTTTAAGACTTTAATTGGAGTGATGAATGTATTGGTTCTATAATGTTGTGTGTTTTTATTTTTATTTTTTATATCTGTCATCACTGATTGTCGTTTAAAGTTGAAATAATGTTTCAATAATCAACTTGATGTCTGGTATTTAATTGGATGTAACTAACATAATCATAAAACTAAAACAGTGAAAATAATCCCATTTGCAAATAATCGGAAAAAAAACGAAATATTCAAGTACGATAAAAGGATTTTGTTGTAATTCTAAAATGAATAATTGTAGATAGTTGGAATTTTCATCATATATTTGTATTAGCGATTTCTACACGTAGTATTTAGATTTTGATGAGGTATCAATACAATTTTTAATATTCTATAAATGTTGATAAAAAAAAAAAAAAATTTATCCGTCAAAAAACGTAAAAATGTAATATAAAGTTCTTATTTCTCAAAAGTTGTTTTAAATAGAATTTAAAAAAAGTTAAGTATAATAGTAACCTTCGGGTTTTAACAATTTAATCAGTATTTCCACTCTACTAATTATGATAGCGCAACCCTTTGACCGCGCAATTCAAATTATTAACGGTATCATTAAATATTTCTACAACAAGAAGTTAATTTATGTTTGTGTTTAATAATTTTAAGACTATTTTGTTCTATGATATATTTTTTTATGATAATAATGTACGCTGATAAAATTACATTAAATGAATTAGATTTATTACCAATACATTATAATACTTAAAGTTTTTGTCGATAAATGAATGACAAAGTTGTGTCTACCAAAATAATTTATTAGGTGTTTAGTACCTACTTATATTCTTATTCAGCTTTCAATGTAATTAAATATTTGTATAATTGCATAATTTGCATTACACAACTTTTTATATTGTCATAAAAATATATATTTAGGTGAGTTTTTTTAGTTTCTATAGTATTGACTATTAAATTATATTTATTAGTTAAAAATTCTGTTTTTTTTTTTTTTTTTTTTGAATAAAAATACCTAGTAAATATAGAAAATTATATTATTTATATTTTCCTAGGGTTTGATTAATGAAAATAGTGCCTGGGGTAAAACTTATGTTTGAGTGTCCTGGAAAAATTTACTAAGTTAAATATAACTTGCTATATAATTGTTTATCAAATATTATGCTTACTCGTATAAACACATCATATACACATGAGTTATATAAATGTTCTTAAAATATCATAAATTATATTTCAAAAAACTGCCTTGTATTCAATAAAAACCTGATAAAATTTAAGTTTTTTTTATAAAGTATAAATTAGAACCGTTATCGCAATTTTTCAAAATGCCGAAAAAAATGATGAATTATGTACATGCATCTCTAAAATTTCTAAAATGTGAGCTAGGATCCTTTAAGAATCGTAGTAAATATGAACGTCAATTTTCCTCTCTAAAATATTTATCAATTTTAAACGTTCTCTCTGAAATTAAAATAAATTATTTTGACCTCTATGTATGCGCATAAAACCTTTAACCCTACTTCAGTTACTCAAAGTTTTTCCTTTTCTTTCTATTGTGATATATTTATTGATGTTTTTAAAATTTATTTTGTCAGTATAAATATATAATAAATCAATATTTTTGTTTTCGAAATGTAAATTTTTCAGTTTTAAATTTGTTACGAAGTGTAATAAGTAATATCTATTGATTTTACTATTGCAAGTATTTTTTTCAATTAAAAAAAATTTGTTGTTTTGCAATGGAGATATGCAACAATTTATAAATATACTTCACCATGTTCATGGTGTTTACACAATAACTGAAAACACTCAATATTTCAGCGTAGAATTATTTAATTTTAACAAATATTTTTTTTCAGTGAATTTTAGTGATAACTTGATTTCTTTAGCTGAAAAATCGCGAAGTAACAAAATTTTTAATGCTGGTTATTATTTACATAATATTGAACGTATGAACAATTTGTTATTAATCGATCATTGTCTAGCTAAATGAGATGGGCCACCCTTTATAATTTTTCTTAATTTTACTTCTATTGTATTTTTTTTTTTTTTTTATGGTGTATTATTACAATTTACATAAAAAATAAGTTAATATTATATTTTAAGAGTTTATTTAGACATAGATCTTTAAAAAAATAAGTATGAGGCTTAAAATCTAAGATAATATTTGCAAGAGAGAGGAACTACTAAGAATTATTTGTTTTAAGATTCTGAGATTATTGAATTAATTTTATCTATCAAAACAGTGTATTTTAGGGTATGCTTAATGTAAACAAATTGTATATGCATTACTCGAGTAAATAATATGGAATATTCAATTAACTATTTCTCAGTTTATTTTTTTTTAACTTGGGAAGTTGATATTTTCTCAGTAAAAAAAAAAAAAAAGAGATTTACTTGTTTGCTGCGTATACCAAGATTTAAATTTGTCAAAATAAAACCTATAAAATCTAATGAATTTGAAGTCCTGTAAGACATTTGTATGTTCTTGACGAAAAATAAAAACTATAACTACAATTTTTTAAATTTACGATGAGTGTTTAAAAATCTCTATACGGACCCAAGCTGTATACGGGTGTATCGTATATTTACAGCAGGGTTGGTAATATACGCGTATAAAACTAAATAACGACTATAATATACTAAATTTCCTTAAATTTAGAATAAAATTAAAAATAAGACTAATTTCTTTTTTTGTAATTATAAGTTTAAAATCGTAACAAAAACATATATATTTTTTCATTAATATGAAAAATTATCACAAATGTCTTTTTTGTTAAAATAATATATATAATAATGCCTTTAATTACCACTTATCAATATCAAATTTATTATCAATTGATAATTATTATTATTTATTATTATATACAGTTATAAATTGATAATAAGTGTTCAATGCAGCAAAAAAAAAAAAACTTTTATACAGTATAAAACGTTTAAAACTAAGTTGCTTTATACTGTACGTTTTATACGTTTTGTACGTACGTATAATACGTGTTTTATATTGTACTGTATTATACGTTCCAACCCTGATTTACAGATTATATGAAAATATATACCTAATCATATAATTTGTGTATAAATAAAAAAATAATAACTTTAACTTTTTTACATCGTTTAAAAATTATCTGTTTAAAAAGGATACAGATTTAAGACTTCTCAAGACGTATTGTTTTTGTTGGATATTCTAAGCTTGTAACTGTAGTCAATCTTTTTGTCGTAAAACATACGCACTGAATTTATAAAAAATAAAAATATACTCATGCTTCCTAAAAAAAAATTGTTTAGATAATAATTTTAAAATAATAACTCTATATAAGTAACTACCTGTATAGTTTAATAACGATTTTTTTTACCTATACAATAATAAACATATTTTGTTGATATTACAACGCTCTCTTCTGTATTCTATATGAATGTAATATTTTTGTACATTTTTTCAATAAGAATATTGTTCCAAATACCATTGTCCAATCGTTTTTCCATACGAATAATATTCTTCTTTAAGAATGATATTCGTTTCGTTTATTTCAATCCTATTGTTCCGATGTAACATGTAATTCTAGCGAAAGTATTCCAATGTGTACGGTATGATATACCTTCGTACAAACATTATTATGTATGTGTGTAATACGGCAAATAGGCAAAGTCATCTTTGACGAATTTTCTATAGACAAAAAAAAAATATCTAGACTTCTAACATAATTACATTTGGCGTGGTCAAAATATTATGCAAAGTACGGAATTTTACTAGACAATCGACTATCGTTGAGATTAGTATTATACGGTTGGGCGTGAAGGAGGGACAGTTGTAGCGGGTAGCAGATTCACGTAATAATTAAGTATAATAATAGTATAATATGATATTGAAATGTGTGATGATTATTCCTTTCACTGGAAAAATACACCATTAGCAGTGGCGGCAGCGAATAATCATTACAATAATATAACGAAGTGTTTCTCACGGTGTCTAGCCATCATTATCGATGAAGAGGTCACGAGAGGTTCCGGAAAGTGAAATCATTGTTTTTTTGGATGGCACGACCCAAGTCCAATTTTTATTCGGGTGTAGCAAGTGGACACAAATGAATAGAAAGCTATACGCTATGTTTAACTTGGGTTGGAGTCATGAAGAAACTTGGTGGATGGATGCCTTCCTATAATAAATACTAATCCCACTATCATAGGTTTTCTTTTTTATAATTTTTTCATTTTTCTTAATAAACGCGACTCGTAATATCTACTTTAATTCTAATTAGCGACTAACTGTCATCAAGTAGTTTATAACGTCCAATTATAAATAATTAATTGAATTAGGTTGAGTTGTTTTTGAAGAACTTAACATGTGTGCGAATACATATAAATATACTGTACAGTTTCACCAGTCCCGAATTAGCATTGTCTTGTTCCATTCACTGACACCCTTATTCTATGGTATATAGAGAAATTCACTGTTCGTCATAACACTGACACATTAAATAATTGCATGTTTACCTCTGACCCCCGGAAGATGTGATTTAAATTCTAATCACAATGGGTAATATTCATAGAATGTTGTCTTGTCACACCTTTAAAATGGAAAGTACGACAGTCGTCGGATTATGATTGATGTGATCTTTATGACGAATCGGTATTTTATTTTTGCCCAGGTATCAGACCTTTGTAACGATTATCGACGTTCTATGAATGCCGAGATTACCGAGTCCATGAATACGTTTTGGGCTGAATGCTATGAATCGTACAAGAACGCATTGGACACTAGGAGCAGACTTGTAGCCGAAAGTCGAAAATCGTTTCAGGTACCTAATAAAACTACGTTATTTAATATGCGCAGTAGGTAGGTATACGCCTTTTTTTTTTTAAATTAAATTATTTTACAAGTGGGTTTTATTCATTATATAGAGACTATTATAATTTTATTACGTAAGATCTCATAGTATACTTAAGATTTCTATAAGTAATTTTGCTTGGCGAATAGATTTAGTGACTCGCGGTTTCTGTTTAACTTTAGGAAGTACCTATTACATACTATAAAATTATTATCGTTGCTCACTTTCTATTTTTGAGTATTAATCTAATTAGCAAAATATTAAGCGTATGAATATTTTGCTGTTCAGTTATTAATAAATATATAGCTTCGCTTATCTTTAAAACGGTGTGCATTTTGTTACAGTCATTAAACGCACTTTCATTTAATCTTATCAGAAACACTGAAATTATTTTTAATCGTTTTGTTATTTTTTAGGCGTTGATATTAGAACCTTATAAGATTAAAAAAGAAGAAGAAGAATCAAGAATATATTTAATGGAAAATCAGAAAAAAGCTCAACGATTATTGGTTCGTGCTAAGTGGAGACAGATTAAGGGATACCTGTGTGGAGATAGAGGACCCTGGAAGTCAAGGTTAGTATTTTTTTTTTTTTTTTTACTGGAAAATTAAAATATGTTTCTTTGACATTTTATGTATGATCAAGTTGATATGATTTTAAGAATAACATCAATATATATATATATATATTATGTTGGTATATCATTATATTATAGCGCGAACTAAATATTAAAAAAAAAAAAAAAAAAATATATCACTGTTTTTAAAAGTTACCTACATAGTCGGTATTAACTACATCACTTCAAAATTTGACTATATTCTAATTAAAAATTAAAAATTAAAAGTAAAAAATAATAGTTACTACCTACCTTAATGTTTAAAATAATATATTACGTGATAAATAAATGTTTTAATAGTTTAATCAGATAATTATTTCGATTTTAAGTTCGTGTGTTAAAAACCATGATTATCTATTGTTCTATTGTATGATATAATTATAGTTTATCTACAACATTTTTCTTTAGGATTTGTTATTTATTATTTAGAAATTAATATTCAAGTGATAAAAGTGTTGTATGTGTATCTGCCGACATAATAAATTCAGTGTGATTTTTTATGAATGACAATAGTTTTATAATATGGCGACTACTTATATATTTATAACAAATATTACTCTCGTGTGTAATTCATACATTGTTTTCGTATTTAATCTAATACACTTCTGACGGTTTTTTAATGAACAAATGGTGGCTTAACTATTGCGGAATGTAACTGTACAAGACACCTACTGGTAGTATTCGAGTACTTCCGCTCTTAATATTATGGCGTATATCGATGGATCATCTAGTTAAAAAAAAAAAAAAAAAAAAAAAATACTTGCGTATAAACTAGGTGAATTAGTTTTATATTTATTTAAAAGTAGAGTAAATTGTATTTATAATTTGTTTAGTTGTTATGTTATATTATATTTGATAAACTTTTTATTGATAAAATATTGTGAGTAGGTTTTTATAGAGATTTATTTGAACATAAAAATTGATTGATTCTGGTTAGGTATGTGCCTTGTAGATGGTTTTAGAGTTTTATAGACTTAATAACATGTGATAAATTTGCATCTTTAGAATTGGGTTGGAGATAAATTTCTTTTGTATTACATTTTTTGTTAGTATCCAATAAAATTCAATTATGTGATTAGCAATTTCATTTTATAGTGTACTTATTAACTTAATGTGTATAAGTTGTAACGGCGGTACTAATTACCTGTGATGTGTTGAGTGAATCAGTCATGGTATTCATCTCTCTCATTTTTTAAATTAGACATTTGATAAAGTTGTAAAAAAGCTTTGGTTTTAATAATTTCAAAACAAGAATATTTATAAATAATATAAATTAACTTTATTTGGGTTTTGTTTTACAGCTTATAATTTAAATAAATAAATATAATATGTATAAATATGTAATGAATAATATAACAGAATTATTTTTATTCTGCGTTATAAATTAAATCGGAATTTTTGCCAAGATATACATTTGTATTAAGTTTTTATCAATAACCGGTTTTGGTTTTGGTTTCGGGCACAGCTAGCGTATTCTTCAACGGTTTTGAGCCTGTGGGCGCATACCTGACTGGTTCAACTTCAATAGTGTCTACTTTGATAGTTTCTACATCGTCTGTCGATACCGATGGTACGAACACCGCTTGTTGGACATCAGATTTCTGTACGTATGCGTTGAATCCGTTTGTCGGATCAGCTGTGTAGTCTACGGTTCTCCTTGTACCATCGGGTTCGATTAGACTGTATTGTCCTTTGACGACGTCTCCTTGGCGGGTTTCCTGTTGGCTCTTAGAATCGCCGGTTATCTGATCCTGTACCTGGTATGCAAATGTATATGATGGATCGGGCTGAAATTGAGCTGGTACGACTTGTACGACTTTGGTGACTGGTACAGCTGGTGCGACAAGTTTAGCGGGGGCTACGGCAACGGGAACGGTTTTGGCGGGTGTTACGATTTTGGCTGGGGCAGTGGCGACAACTTTGGCCGGAGCAGTGGCGACGACTTTGGCTGCCGGTGCTGCGTATGCCGTGTACGCCACTAACGGCGCTGATTGGTAGAATGGTTGTAGATAAGCCCAAGGCACGGGTCCATGTGACGTGAACGAAGATGCTACATAGGTCGCGGGTACATCGGTTATGACAACTTCGGCAGCTGAAACCATAGCGGCTACTAAAGGCAGAATGATGAATACCTGAAACATTTTTGAGTAGTATTATATTTATTTTTTCCCGTCAATCAGAATTGACTTTATTTGAACGTAAAATAATCGATTTATTCGTTTGCTTGCTAATTGTATGTTTCACTTACCTTCATTTTGAAGAAGTTTTGAGTCTGTGAATTGAATACTTCTTGTACTGGTAATAGTAGTACTGTTTTGAGCGATTGATTGTGATATGATTCAATCTTGATCGATTCCCATTTATATATTGTTTAAAAGGCCCTCGTACCCCACCAATTTTAAGGACATCTCGTACGTGTAGACAAATATAATTCATATCGATGAGCATGATAATATTCAATTCTGGTGCCGTGATTAGAATTAAATTATATTCATGTCTCAAATGACCATGATGCATCTTCATAGTTTGGATTTTGCAATGAAATAGATCATTAAGTGAATTTTGTTTTCGAGCCAAATGTACAAATAGAAATTGACCCTTTTATGTACTCGGCCAAAATATATGAGTTATATTGTCATATAATTATTTATCTTATTTACATTATTATATTTTAAAGTTAATTGATAAAAAAACCAATCATTTAGATATATGAAAATATTATCAAATTAAAGATATTTTTTAATAAATATGTATTTGGTTAATAACAAAATATTTTCAATATATTTTCATGATAATTATATTGGCAAGCTTAAATTAATTGTTTATCGTGGAGTAATTTCTGAATATTAGAACGCGTACGTGAAAGATGGCCCGACACGCATTTACCGAGGACGTTTTTATGGCGCATATTGCATACCTGATATGAGTTTAGGCCGCGGATTAATGTATTTGTATTTTTCTAAATGGGAAGTTAAAAAACGTAAAATAATATTTTGTAGGCTCCTTGTGTATAAGAATATTATTTATAAGACTATATCATTGAGAATAATAGAAACATTTACAATTTAGAATACAAATATACTATTTAAAAATCACAAAACAATAATAATAATAATATGATCTTGAACAAAAAATATTAACATCCCATTGACATGAACATTGAGCAGTTTATATCCACTCATATACAAAGTAAATATACAATTGGTATATTTTTATAGTATTCCTTAACCCTCATCCCCACAAAGAAAAATTATTTGACTTAATTTATTTTATATTTTATTATCACTTGTTTTATTTTATGATGCAATTAAAAAATTTAGTTAATGCATCTTGTAATACATAATTGAAGTAAATATATATTTTTAATTAAATATTATTTCTAAATAATAAATATTTTACTTTTTTTTTTTTTTAAAGAAATTTATAATTATAATTAAATTAAGTTAAAATTAAATATGTAATAGAATTTTTAAACACTAATTTTACTTAAATCATTTTGTTTTGGAATATTTTTAAAATTGCAGACTTTAAAAATAGCTTATTTTATTATTATTGGTTTCCCATTTCTCATTTGACTAAAGTACAGTAATCATTTGGAATTTGACCAAATTATTCAATTAATCTATATATTAAAATTACCAAGATTGGCAAAAACGTGTAATTTACTGTTATGCAGTTTTTCAGGTATTCGTAATTTTACCGTAACATATAATTTTATATTAATTATACCTGTATTTTAAATATTTTAATCAAAACATTTAAAACTAGTTTCGTTTAAAAATGTTTTAAATATTAAAGTACTGCTAATAGTTTAAACATTTTTTTTAGATAATTAATTTTTAGTGCTTAGTTTTGTTCGTAAAACTAAAATAAAATAATCACATAATATTCATAATTATTTAATTTTACAAAGCTTTGTTTTCATTTAATTTATATTTACAATTATTTTTAAAAATATAATAATTATTCCATTTAAAAATTATCTGTAATCCGCCAATTTGTGGTAGAAGTCTTTCTCTATACTCTAAGCTGCGATATATGTATTATGATTTTTCAATTTTAATATTTGTTAACAAAGTGTTTGATTCTAATATTTTTTATTAATATTTTATGTTAACAATTTATTTTAAATTTTATAAAATATATACAGTCGAGCATGGGTTTAACTCAAAATCGTCGATATCTCGAACTTTTTCCCTACCGAAAAATGCAAAAAAATTATGTTACTCAATTATGTAATCAAATATTTTCATGAATAACTTAAAGTTTCAATTTTAGTGATAAAATTATAAAACGTTGATATTTTCCCATGTATGTACATTTATTATTTGTACTGAATCTTCCATTATTCCCACGATTCCACAAGTACAGATATATTATAACGAATCAAGACGATTTATTGAAACAATCCTGCAGAGGTTAATGATGAACTTCTTGAAACTTTAAATAAAATTTAATGAAATAATTTTTTTTATACATTTTTAAAATTATACTATATAATATATTTATACATACAAAAATATAATAAATATAAAGTAAATAATAGTACTGTTTTAAATAAAAAATGAATTTGAAATTTTGTTTTTGAGTTTTTGGATTATTCGAATTCTTTAGTTACTCGAACTTTTGTGTCGGTCTTTTCAACTTCAAATTAAACAAGTCTGACTGTTTATTTTATCGATTGATAGTATATTACTAAGTGTACATATGTGTTGAATGCAGTTTTGTTTTGATTTGATATTAGGATTTCATTCCATTGTATTTAGTTTGAAAAAAGTTGAACTACTTTTTAAATATATGTATTAAAATGAAATTGTTTTAAATATTCATTATATACTATATAATATATTAAATTCTTATAAAGTTATTATTGTGATACTTGAACAATTCAGAAATGTGTATCATGTATTTTTCCCTTAAAAACCGCCAACTATTATTAAAAACAATAAAAAAATAATAATTTATTAATGAACACGACGGGAATAGTATATAATTGTATTATAGACTGTAATAGTATTACAATGTGTGTATTTTTATTTGCATTTTATTACTATACAGTAAACAATATAAATTATACATTCATTTAAAATTTATTTCTATCTATTCATTGAATTAAAAATACAGTCACGTAATACCTACTATCAGTTCTTTCAACGTTAAATATATTACTATATACTTCTATAACTTTGTAGTTTAAATAATTTATTATTCATTATATAGGTACTTCATATTTTTTAAATATCATATTAAAGTACGCCTAAGCTTTAATTTGTGTTTTTTTCCGTATAATTATAAAATTTAATTAACAAATTAAATTATTAAGTTATTATAATAATTCAATTTCTCTTTCACCATCACATAATTTTTACGTACCTATATTATATTTTTTCTAAATTTATCTTTATAAATCATCTGATATAATCATATTATACAATATTTTTCACGTTTATTATAAAATAATTCTAATAATTTATTACTATTATTTTAATATATTTCATTACAATTGGTACCATGTATGTATATAATTAATTTTTTGATGATATTGATTTAGAAATTATCAAAAAATATTAATTATATGACATAAAAAGAAGAAAGTATTTAATAAGTAGGTATATATTTTATGGTATAAGTACTAAGTTATGTTAAATATACATAATATCGAGAGAAGTAATCATAATATGATATAGTATTTGTTATAATTAGAGCTAGAATTTTGATGACTTGATATTTTTTTCCTTAGGTGCTATACAGTTTTCACCAACATCAAATTTATTTCGTTGTGTAACAATTTACAATGTGTAATTTTTATTTTGCATTTTTTGTGTTAAATTTTTTCTATTGCATTTTTAAGGTCATTTTTTATAAATATTACGTTAATATTTTTATTTAAAATAATTTTTGTTTATTTTAAACTTTTTAAATGTGTTGTATAGGTTATCTCAATTACCTACTCCAGTCCATTGATATTGAAAAAGTAATATAATTAATTATCAATTCAAATTTGAATTAATTTGTATAATTTACTTCGTAAAACAAATTTTTACCTATTTTATGTAATATAAAATGAATAAATAATAATTAATAATTAATAATAATTATTATTATTTCAAAATTAAATTTTTTTCGTTCAACTAAGTACATTTTTTGGTCATTTTTAAGTTCTTTTTTTTAGGGTTTTTAGATCATTTTTGCATTGTTTTTTTAGTGCTTGGTGTATTTTTAGGTCATTAAAATCCTAGCTCTAGTTATAACTTGTAAGCAAAAACTATGTAAATTATAATATAGATTTATTGTCAATATCCATAACCTATAATATTATAGGTATATATTAAATTCACACTAAAGTTTTCACAAATATAAGGTTATCAACATATATATGATACCATTCATTAATTTTCTTATTAAATTACAAAAATACTTAAAAATATATTTAAATATAAAATAAATGTAACTAATACTGAATTACGTAAGATTACACTCAAATGTGTTTCATGTACGTATATTATTGTTTGAGAACACTATATAATATTTGTACAATATATACGATTCTTTCGATGATATTTATTTTAAATATTTTTATTAATTATAATAATATTAAGAAGAAAATATTAAAAATATTAAAATAAGATTAATGTATTTATTGTAGTTATTTTATATTAAAATATTTAATTCTTTTGTATGGTTTCCATTATTCCACCACCATATCTTATTTAGCTGATAGTTTCACCATAGGATTGCTGCGCAGGATTGTTGTCAATTTCCATTTTTATTGGTCACTTTATTGATTGGTGTTTCCGAATTTTTTACCTTCTTGTAATATTTTTTCAATTCAGTTTCTGTTGCATTTAACTCTGTCTTAACAACTATCGGTTTAAAAGTTCTGGTTGTATTGTCTGGTCCGTTATTCTGTGATTCAAATTTATCTGTTTTTCGTTTGTTGTTCGCATCTTGTAATTTAGAATTTGGCTCTATTTTGTGCTCGAACACTTTATCTGTTTCCTCTGATTTTGATAAATGATAGCTAGCCGATCTGCCATCGTCAGTTATTCTCGGTACATTATGTTGGTCATTTAAACCGTCAACATGACCGTTGATTATTTTGTAGCCGTAACTGTACCCTCGCGATGCCGGTCGACCATCGACATGCGTTGTAGAGTAAAACTTAGCAGTTGCAGTAGGTGAATAATTATTGCGATCATATGTAAGTCGATTTTTGATTTCCTGGTCGTTTGAATTTAATATTGTTTCCGGGTTACGTAGTTGCACACGTTCGTCTCGAGTCGGTAAATATTGTGCCGATTCGTATATCGGTGTATGTTGGTTTTCACTCTTAGGTACAAAGTATTGTATTGGTGCTTGGATTGCTTGATTTATTAAAGGTATTTTTCCCGTGTTTATTACTAATGGTATTACTTGATACTGCTGTTCAACGGGCACTGGATAATGAAGTGATTCGTACGATATTTCGGACGAGGCTGGTAGTAAGATGATGGGGTTTAAGGATTTGGTACTATAGTTGGGTGGAACTTGACAAGCATGTTTCGCGAGCATAGAGAATAAGGAAGAGATAAAAAAAATCCAAATCTGTTAAAAGATAAAATTAAATTAATTAAATAAAAAACGTTTTGTTTGCTTTAAAAAACATATAACTATTTTTTACTATATTGATAATTTCGTAAATATATTATTTTAATGATAAAATGTATTCCACTTTTAATACTTCTTATAGATTTATTATTAAATGCGTTAGAACTATATGCTTTTAAGTAAAATGGAATGCTCGTGTATTCAATATAAAACAGAGTAGGTGCAAGAAAATAAATGTATAATGCATTTTTACCGACGATTTATTTGTAACGTCCTTGAAAACAATTTAAGTGAAGTGTCGTTTGTGGTTGATTTAACAAAATGAAATTGATAAAAAATTACCAATTGGAAACGGCCAAACTTGTGATTAATGGTAATCAGATTGTATTGAAATATCTTGTTTGATATATTATTATTTTTATTTTTTTTTGCACAATACTGGTGTATAAAAACAGACGTGAAATCGAGTAATTGCATATTTCGCCACTGTTTCTTAGGAATTTAATACATAGTTTAATCAATAACAAGTCTCCAAGACCGCGTGTCTAGAATTTATAAGTTGTTCGGACAGTGTCTGTTGTCAATTAATAATAAGTTAACGTACTTGCGTTGACCTATGGTATATATTATGTTATAAATCCATGTACATATTTTATAATATGTATAAATAAATATATCTTTAAATATATTATATTGTGTACCTATGTGTTCTTGTAATTCTGTACTATCTACTGCAGTAGATGGTTTAGGTTTTTAAAATTGAGATTAATATATATTGAATATCAACTTAGTTTTAAATAATAAAAACTATAGCAGAGCCCTTGTTTTCATGAAACTAATTAAAAGTTATATATTTAATATACTTAAAAATATACAGTAGTTTATTTCATATCATATATGCATATAATTTTTTGTTGTTTTAAGTCTACAGCTGTAAATTTAAGATAATTTCGGTGATTTTTCCGTCCAACTGTTTAACATAGTAATTAATTACTAATCTAGTAGATTATATTGATTTTAATACACATTGCAGATACGATAAGCTGCTTACTATTCTAATCTAAATTATGTTTTGTACAATTTAATATTATAAATTAATTTTTCCATTATTTTTGTTAATGATTTTAAATAGCAATGTTTAGTATAAAAAATTAATTTATAGTTAATTTTCACATTAAAAATACCTTATGATTATCTTACGTTGTAAATTTAATTTAAATATTATCTTGTAAATCTTACTTAAAATTCAGTTGAAAAATAAAAATAAAAACCATACTTTTTTTGTTAAATTTAGAAGGATCTATATGAAAATGCAGAATATGGATTATTAATTTATTTTCTACCAATATTTATTCTTAAATTTCATGTTAAATTTTCCTAAACATTTTATTTAAAAATTAATTAAACGTTAAAATTTCTCATATAAATATAGTCATTAGACATTATTGATTTTATAGTTTAAATAATTGTAAATTTTTCATAATTTGTTTATCCTATAAATTCGTAGTTGATATTATTTCATCAAGCATGTTGTATGTAGAAAGAATCATTGATTTTTGTTTTCATAAATTGTATTATATAGTTTGATTGATGTAGAGGAAGTAACGGTTTTGTAGTTTTTCCCTTTTAAAATGAAGTTTTATGAAGAAAAAAAGTAAGTATTTACTAAAAAAAAAAACACGATTCATGGTACTAGAATTATATTTAGTATCCAAGAATTTGTGATATGCTATTACTATTTTATATATATTACCTACATCATTTGTATTATGTTGTTAGTCAGAATCGTAAAATTTTTAAATTAATATAAAAGTTTATTTTATTTTGAAAAACTATTTGTTACATAAAAATGGATAAAACAATTATTTTTCATGAGATAAGTTTTATTTATTCTTAATTATAATTTGTGATCAAAATATACCTTTGTCTCTGCATGTTTTCATTTTAATATATTTTAGTATAACTTTATTAAATTACAGCTACTCAAAAAAATTAATTAAACAATATAATTTTAAGCTAGAAAAAAATTTGGATTCAGTTACACGAATAAATAAAATTATTATTCAGAACATTCCATATGAAGTATAATAATAGTTTTTACCATTTTCGCGTAACTTTTTATTCTATTTTAATTAAAAATTAAAATAGAATAATAATTAAATCATTAATTTTTCGTGGGGTATTTGTGAACTAATTTTTGTAGGAATTTCGATAAAATCATATAATATTCGAATAATTTTAGTTGATAAATTTCCTTTGGCTATAGTATATTGTAATATTATTATTAACTGCTAAAATAATAAAACATGTATTTAACTTAAACTTACCCAGGGTTCCATCATGATCCAAGTAATTCTTAAAAATCTTGTTAAAGAAACATTTCTTTGCATCTACGAAAATAAATACTTTTTATGTGTGTCTGCATGTATGTAAGTATCAATGTATGTGTGTATGTTTGAGTTTAATGGTTTATATAGTGTGTATTTTATACCAGAGTTCGATACTCAAATATTCGAGAAATGTTGAGAGCTCAATTATATATTTCTTTTAGAGTTATATGCTTCAGAAGGGGTTTCCGTATCAAATTAGCAGAACGATTCGTATTATATTTTATAAAAATTTTACCGTTAACCCATAATTTATAAACATTTAATTGAAACTGTATTGATAAAATGAATTTCATAAAATGAATATTTTTAATGAATATCCTTTTTTTTTTTAATCTTAGTATAAGAATTAAAAGAATAAAATTACATTCTTGAAAGAATAAAAATAATTAGGGATATAAATAATAATAAGGACATTTTTTCTTGGTTTATTTAATAAATGCAAATTTATAGATAGTACATTAATTAGTGAAATAATTTGTTAATCAATTAAGGTACATTTAAAAATATTATATTTGACAATATTAGTATTTTATCATATCATAATTATATATTATAATATATAGACAACATATTGATTTTTAAATTTATTTTCAAAACCAATATGTTTGTATTTATGAATTTTTTTTCTTATTTAATGTATTATATTGGTATGTCCTTAATTGTCCGTAAAAAATGTCACTTTTTATATGATTCAATTTTTATTTGCTTTGTTATTTAATACTCAACGTATAGTGATGTTTAGAACTTAAAAAATTAAAGTTTAACTTTGATTTTTATTTTATTTTTAAAATGTTAATCATAATATTCATAACATTTCACATTTATTTGTTCATACTAAGAACGAAGACTCTGTTTGCATGTAGCTATTTTCTCAAGTCGTTGTTATGTTTGTTTTTGATGAAGGTCAGTAAATAATCTGTATACTATGTTTGAAGTTATATTGTTTAACAGTAGAAAAATATATTAGTTATTGGTACAGTCTCAATCGAGATAACCAACATAGAATTTCTGCGGGGAAAGTACTGCTTTCTCACTTTAATAACCACTAGTGAGAATATTTTTCCCTAAGAATTATTTATTGTGAAGGCAACCAAAACTTTCAACGAAGATTGCGTATTTAAAAGTTCATAGTAAGTCCGTCAGTATCACCAAAATACGTGAAATTTTGTCTGGCTGCTGGCCGATTAAGAATAGTCGCTACGATTAAATTATGTTGTTGGTATTTTGTCAAGAGTCTCGTGACATGACACTTATATAGCCTTTATGAGCTTCTTATTTGGGAAATAATTTTTGAAATATGTTCTACAGTAGTAACTGAGGTTCACTCCAACATACAAAAAAATGCACACATAATATGTATCATTTTATTATTGTGTTATTTATACACAATTTGACTTCTTTATATAATTATTATGGAATTATATAGATAAAGAGTAGATAATTTATTGGCAAAGTCTTAGAAATTAAAATTTTATATTTTCCCCTTTTATTTTCTTTTTTTTCATAACTCGCTTCAAAGTATTTCTTTTATTTTTGTATATTATTTGACGTTAAAAATTAGAACTTATAAATTCTTTATATTTTTATGCGTTTTTAGCGGTAAATAGATTTTTAAAACAAAGATAATTGGTATTATTACAATTTTATTTAGGTATTTTTTTAATATAAGTATCTAAAATAACAATAACTTATTTTTAGAAAACTATGAAATTAAATAAAAAATTAATGCAGATTACAACTCTTTTAAAATCTATGGTTAAAAATATTATCTTGTTATTGAGTATTAACCTTAATGTATATCATATATTTATAATAGTCAATAGTTATATTACCGATCCAAACATGTTTTATACTATACTTTTATACGGCGTTCATCATATGCAATATAATTTCATTGTAATAATCTAAAATTGTTTATGATAAGAAAACTCCTTTTAATTATTTAATACAATTTAATTTGCTTTATTTAAGTATCATATTTACTTTCATTTGAAATTTATTTTTTGTATTTTTCTGTATAAAATATTATTATTTGCATCATAAATATGATGAATAATATTATATTTGATGTATAAATATACAACTTTACCAATCAAATTATCATTATTCGTTATTCATACCTATAATTTTTGCTCAAATATAATAAATATGAATATTTTTTTTATATAGCTTAAATTTACCAATTTTATATTATTTACACTTTTAATTTATTATAATTATTGGTATATTTTAAATAGTCAGGCGTTTTACTGGTATAAAATATACAATTATTTAGTTGCATTTATATTGCATACAATAAACGCCGTTTTTAAAAATAATCTTACAGCTTTTTATATATATTTTTTAAATATTTAATTTCTTATGGTAGAAAATAAACATAGGAAATGTAAAATATTTCTTGCTAACTACTTGGTGGGCTATAACTCTTATCAAATTTAAATGAGGAGTCATTATAGAAAATCTGAATACTCTTTTTTATGTGATACGAACTAATACTATAAAAATATATAAAATACTATATAAACTAAGAACAAAAATTATATAAATACATAAAATTTAAGTTATTTTAGACTGAAATTAAAATATATAAAAACCATATACTTTATAAGGTTAGTAAGCTCTAAAATTCCTATCGGGTATTGCTCGACCAAGTCATAAGCTAATATGGTTAATAATATTTTAACTATTTTATATAAATAGACATAAAACCTTTTTTAATAATACAATTTCTAGTATATAATTTTTTTTCACATTAAAAACACAAAAGCAGCTTATTATAAAGTATTTATCATTATTATTATAATATAGAGTTACACGTATATATTAGAAGTATTTATTAATTTTTTTTTTCACTTAAAGGCAGTTGTACTAAGAGTGTTTTATTTATTTATTATTTATTTATTGCGTTTTGTAGGAAGATTTTTTTCATTATTTAATAATTGTCTTGTTAATAAAATAAACGTTAATAATAAGATAACATAAACGGATGATGTTAATCAAATATCAATAATTATTTTACTTCTACTCCGGTTATCCGGCTAAGTAAATATATGTGTATTAATGTTTATCATTGAAAATACTGAACGTGACTATCTTTAAAAATAATATTAAACACGTATGTATATTGTAAATAATATGATATTAGCTTTACGTGAAATATTGAAGTATTTCGTCAAGTATTAACGTATAAATAATTTTAATCTTGTGTAATAATTATTAATAAGTTATATATAATATTGATATTTTACTGGACTTTGTCGGTAGATAACTGTAATTCGTTTAAAATATTTAGATTTCTTTGATCAAAAGAAATCAATAACTATTTAGTTGTTATTTTTCCAACGTTCTTATGATATGTATTTATGTTGATGATTATTTTTCTTTTAGTGCTAAAAAGCTTAAAAGTTAAATTTAGGTTCTTTATAAGATGTTCATACTTTTCTGAAAATTATTGAAAATATTTAGTTATTTGAAGTTCTAATTTTGATAAAATTAAATATTTGAACGAAAAATAATAATTTCCCTTTTATAGATTTAGTTATTTTGTTATAATTCAAGTAGCTGATGTTAGTGACTTGGTATTTTCTTTATTAAGTATATTATTATTTTTATACACAATTATATATTTAGACAGATCTTAAATTATTTTTATACTACAAACCTATTCACACTGTTATTGTTATATGTCACGCTGTATTGCCTTCTAAGTTATAACTTATAAGCTAATTATAGGCTTAATATACAGCTAGCTTGGTAATATTTTAATAATAATTATAATATATTAAATGAAAATTGATTTTGATACAAATTTGTTCAATTGTCCGTATTGCTAATAGAAAAGTAAATTATCTTCTATCCTTTAATATTATACATTCATATTATAAAATAAAATAAATTATATAATTACATAAAATGGATAAATATGGTCTTTGCTCAAGATTATTTTTCCTATATAATGATAACTTGATATATTATACCGTGTGTCAACTTAGGGTCCACTTTATAACTCAGTATACTGAATATATTTTTTAATTCTGTTAGCGGAACATTAAACTAGTTACTATAGACTATTGGATCATAAATGCTTTTGATTTATAATTTTCTTAATTCATGTATTCTGCGAATGCATAACACAACTTTATTTATTTATTTTTTTTAGTGGCAATCTCTATTTGAAATATCTTTTTCGGATTGATTGATTTTTGTCAAGCCATTCTAATGTATGTTCTAAAATAAAAATTGATAGAATGAAAGGTATTATAAAAATAAAACATTATTATTAATATTTTAGCAATTTTTTCCGGACTGTACGAATTGTTTTCTTTTTTAATTAAATGATTATGATAATTAATGTTATGATTTACTTAAAAGTTAAAATTCATGAACTATTAGGTATTTTATTCTATTATTACACTATTGATGAAATATAATATGATTTATGGGTACCGGATTTTTCTCTTCTAACTCTTTGAATATTGCACTATATTCTTCTTCCAGAGTTGTGTATGCATATTCTTTTTAAGATTGGTAGATCTATGATCTTACATTCGATTGTAAATTATATTGTGGCGAGTATTCCGTTTTGTCGATAGAAAATAAAATAAACACAAATGCTTGTATAAAAAATACTGTATTATATTATATTAACAAAATATAAATAGTAACGCACTTCACTATAAATACTGAAGTCCGTCCTTAATGTACACATTGTACACGCATATTTATTATATAGAAACACAACAAGAGAAACTGAGTATAGACAGGAGATATAGGTAGGTACTGCGTTGTGAACATGATATGGGATTAAAAAATTAAGTTTAAGACCTAATAAAACGTACGTATTATATAGTTGTCATAAATGTGACGAAAACAAAAAAAAAAAATAAAAAACCAATCGTTTCCGTTCAAGTTTTTCTCGTTCGGCGGCACGCCGCGCGCGATTATGATAACACACATAATAATATTACGGTTTACCATATACGGCGGCGTGTGCAGTGTAACCCTATCGGAATGAAATACGGTGCAGTGTTTTAAACGTCTCGGTCCAGCGGGTCGGTGCGGGTGCGATGGTTGGGTTAGGTAGGTCGCGTGCGTACGCCGTCTCTCAGTGGTAGGCCGGATACGCGGCGTGGTACGGCGACGGCGCGTACGCCTTGACGGCCGGATATATCGGCGCGTACGCACTTACCGCGGCCGCCGGGTAGACGGCGGGCGCGTACGTCTTGACCGGATATGCGGCGTGGGCGGGCGCGGCCGCCGCGTAACCCTTGACCAGCGGTTCCTTGGTGACGACCGCGTTGAAACCGTTGTGCGGGTCGGCCGTGTAGTCGACCGTCCGCCTGGTGCCGTCCGGGTCCACCAGGCTGTACGACCCGTGCACCACGTCGCCCTGCCTGCTCTCGTGCTGGCTCTTCGAGTCGCCCGTCAACTGATCGTGCACGTCGTACGCGTACGAGTACGACGGGTTCGGGTCGTAGTCCGCGTCGTACGACTTGGCCGCCGCCGAGTAATACGGCACCGGCGCGTACAGGGCGGGCGAGTACGGGGCCACCTCGTAGGGCGTGTACACGGGAGAACCGTGGGCCATGGCTGCCAGGACGGACGTGAACACTGCGAGCTGAATGAAAAAAAAAATATATATATATATATTATATGAAAAATGTAATCGTTATCAATCGATCAGTCGAATTGTAATTGTCCGGGGCGCGGCTTTTGATTATGGCACTGAGGCGGGGGGGGGGGGGGTTGCTTTTTTTTTACGTCAACCAACTATAATTATTACTCGCAGAAATAAACGAACGTCCAAACCCCTACCCTCCCCCAAATAACCGGTTCAATCCGTTATAATACCCGACTTTTCCTCAAGTCGTTAAAATCCGTCGAGTATTTTTTGATTCCATATAATACTGTTTCGGACTCGAATCTTTCATCTATACCGACTGATATCCGTGGTTATTCTGTTCTATTATATTCTTACGACCCGTCGAGAATCACAAATAATATGCATAAACTATTGTTTTCAGTTTGCTTCGTTTGAAATATATAGTTCATCATATACTATCATTTTAATGTGTAAACCTTAACCACCTTATTGTCTTTAATATATTATAATAGCTGTTACTCAATTAATATAGGATATATAAATCAGCTAAAATGATAAAATAAAATACAACACAGACAATTATATTCAATCATAATAATTATTTTATTAGATATCTGTAACCAATAATAATAACCCTCTATATATATATATAAAAAAAAAAATAATATTCGATTTTCGTTTATTGAAACACAATTTATGTTAGAGTTACCCTAAAGCGTTCTACGAGAGTTGTAAAACAAATGTAAAAACCTTTACTGAGTTTTAAGAAATTTATTAGTAAAACTATAAAATATACATATATAATCGTAAAATCACAGCAGGACTCTGTTCATATAAAATCATTCTTTATTAGTTAAATAAGTTCTTATCATTTTTCATTAGACATTTTATCACTTATAACGGCTCACTTAATTCTTTTTGTGTGTATTTTTGCAATTAAAAATATGATTTTATTGTTCTTTTAAAAATTTTTTGTAAGATCTTTTAATTTTTAAGTAAAATTAATTGATTTTAGTCTAGACAATAATTATTACCTCAATCGATATTTTGTAATTGTATTAAACTTCTATCATAGTAATATTCTGTGGGCTGAAATCGTATTCTAAAAGATATTTTATGAATTAAATGGGCACATGTTTTTAAAATTTATTTTTCTTTTAACTTTCTACCGCGCATTATCGAGCTTATATATATTATACATACTATTAGAGAGATCCCACAAAGATGATGTTTTATAAATGATATTAGTATGTATAATATGTGAGCTCGATAATGCATGGTAATTCCATTATCCGAGGAAATCTGTTTATCATCGCGTAAACTGAGCCCACTTCAATCGAATTAAAAGAATAATAAATAAATGAATATTCTGCGACACAAGTTGTGAATCATCGAGAAAAGTGTACTGTAGCAGTGATAATATTTTTGAAATTCATTATGATGCAATGAGTTGTTGTAACTTTAGTAAACACAACGATTTTTACAAAGTCTTAAAGACCAACAGTTACGACTTTCAGTCGGCGTAGCTTCAAATTCGGAAAAATCGTATAAGTTGGATTTAAAAGTATACTAGTTTCATCTTAAACGTAATGCATATACCTATTCTAATTTATTTAAAGTATATATTTTATCACTAGGTATGTGTACTTACCCTGAAAACCATAATGATCGCTGAGTGAAGTGATTTGAGACGTGGAATTATAAATAGTAAAATAAACGAACGTTCCGTGCGGTGATGGCTCTGGAGCTCGAACGGGTGTGATGTTGGATCCGTGGACGGGTGATCTTTTTATACACGCTGAAATCGCTATGAACCTTCCGAGACCACTCCCTGACATTATCGCACGCGCGCCTATGGGGGGAAAAATCATAGTTGGCCCCCCGGGGACTTACGATGACGACGATGCCTCCGTAAAATTATTATAGAAATAATAATAACAAAAATATTATTACTATTATTATTATATGACGGAAAACGGGCGGCGGTCCTTATAATATGTATTGCATTATATTTCACGACCTTTCACACCAAGGCGGCGTACATACGACCGTGGCCTCCTCTCTGGGCGCGATGTACGGCGTATCGGAGGTATATTATATATTATATATTGTTTAATAATACAGTCAGGCCCGCGCACTCATCCCCCCGAATAGGTTTTCTTTCCTTCTAGGTTGTCATATCGTAGTATTGTTGTATCTGTCTTAATACGGAATTTTCCGGCGTGTGCTTTCAATGATAATTATAATATAATATCATATTATATTATTATTCACATTGTATCGCAGTATAATATCGTTCTTACACAGAGGACGTCTTGACCGATGAAACTCTGGCAAGCGCGACCCTGTTTTCCGGTGTGTTTTTCTTTTTATGACACGTGTCTAATATATGATGGTCTTGTATAATAATTGATATAATACATGTGTATATAACGTATATATTATTTTTTATTATATTTTAATTTATGCATAATCATAGTACCAATGTCATTATTTAAAGATTTTAAAGGTTTAGGCCCGAACGAATTTCGCGGATTTAATTTGACGCCGTCACATTAGCTATTATAATAAGTATATTAACACACGATCGAGATGTTATTGCTTAAGTACTTAAAGTGTTTAGTGGAAAAGCTGCAATTCCTTGGACTGTTTTACTTCAAACATTATTTTTATCATTGGAGCTATGACATATTATTTCTCTTAGACATTACCTTGCAGTAAGTAATATGCTAGACTCATTTTGTTTTAAACGTATGTAATTACGATGATATCAGTAAAACAATAAACAACATTAGATGAAATTGGTTTAGGTGCCCAACATAGTGTTTTCCGACCACACAAATTATAAAATTAAAAGGTTATAATAATATTTATCTCAATTTGTGATTAATATATGCATGTTTCTAGTAAAATATTTTCCAAAGTTTCATCGTTTAACAAAATATAGACCTCGCAGCTTTCTGTCGTATTTTAGGGTAATAGAAGTCTAACATTAGTATATTATTATATTAATAATAATGACCGTTGTTTTACATATTTCCGCATTCGATCATGTTCGTAATTTAATATTAAATAAAAATTCAATAGTGTTATATCTACTGTTAACTATTATATATTTAGGTACTCGTACAATATTAATGATATCTTCATTCTTGTTTGCTTAATTTTTGAGAATTCTTTTTAATTTTGACTTTTTTACCACATTCTGCTGTAAAGGCTTTGTATTATTCTTTAACTCCATTATTTTATGTCGTAACATAATTTTATAACTGATAAGCTATTAGAATATTATTAATATACTCGTTTATTATTATTTTTTACTTTAATTATGTATTACATAATCTGTTTTAAATTTACAAATGTTCGTTAGTGTAATGCGATAGGGAAGTATGATTGGCGAATTTTTGCTTAATTATCAATTATCAATCGTATCATATCATATAGGCAAATTTAAAATAGTTTATATTTTATGTGTTTAAAATCGTAGTATTTTCGTTTTTCACGCAACATACAACATGCGTGACATGTGCATAAACACTAGAGATTTATTTTATTAAATCAACAAAATAAATTACCCATTGTAACTTCTGGTCCGTTCATTGTTCAATTTCATGCGTGAAAATGCGATGTTGGTTTATATTTATTTTTTAAATTTATTTAGTATTTTATTATTTTTGTAAATATTATCTAACTCGACTCCAAATTCTTTTCGTTTAACCATAACCAAATTTTACAACATAAAAAGTTGATTCTTAGCATTTGTCGAGTCATTATTTTGATTTGTGAAAAATAAATGTGCTTTCAACAATATTTTAATATATTTTTTTTAAATATTATAAATTATCTCCTATATACTAGTGCGTTAAAGTCTCTTACTCTCTTATATACATGCCACTCATCTTATATCACGGTTTTCGAATTATGGCAAGTTTCGTCATTTGCCTGATAATAATAAATAATACTTGAAACACCTAAATATTTTTATTAGAACTCAATGTTTACATGCGAGTAACTGAAAGCTAAATACCTACGTATTTATTTCAATTGTAATTATAGTACATATTATTAAAGTTTCGCAAATATACCTACATAGTTTTATATTTTACCATACCATTGTTTTAATTAACCTACATGTATTTTTTTATTTCACTTTGATTATTTATATTTACTTAAAGTCAGGTGAATCATTATATTCATCAATTACATTAAAAATGCAAAGTATAAACAAAATTGCTATACTTTATCATTTACATGAATAAAATTTTTCTCTAAACAATCCGATTTTTATGTCTCTTTTTTAATCTTCCGTGAAATCTAACAATAACAATTCCGAACTATTTATCTACTATGATAATATTATAAATGTGTTATTTAAGTAAATTATTTAGAAAACACTGATATTATTTTTAATTTTAAGTAATTTTAAATAGGTGACAAATGAGATTTGGTCCAGAGATTTTGACTGCAGTTAGTACATGTATCGATAATAATAGCTATAAAAAAAAAAAAAATAAAAAAAAAAAAATACATGTACATTTATAATATTTTGAAAGCATATATTATAGGTATACATAACATAGGATTATTTTCCAACAAGAAACTAAATTAACGTTGACGTACCAATGTAACAACAATACCATCATGTAGTACAATGGTCGTCTACTCTTATAACGTCGAGGACATGATAATGTGATATATACTTTGTGTACCGTTGTTATTCTTGGACAGAGCAAAAAATACAAATAAAATGTCGAACGACGTTTCTCGATATATGAAGCATTAAGAAAATACACGCCATCAGAAATTATTTTTATTATGTCGAGTATGTGGTCCGGAGGAATTATAATCTCGTGATTTTATTTCGACACGCGCATTTAAATCCATAATATGGTATAATATATATAACAATAAATAATATGTGGAGTGACCTTTTCTGTTGTCCGAGACGTACATATATAATAATATATACGTATACGTACAATACAAAAAATTAATAATAATAATAAATAATAATTATAGATATTTTCGATTCCTGTGAACAATATGGGATATAATAACAATTATTATACTAATATTATTATTATTATTATATATATCTGGGGGACGCGTTATTACATTATAGATTTTCTTGCGTGATTGCTTCAGCAGCTTTAATCGAGATATTTTATGCTGACTATATAATACATTTTATACAGAGTGATTAGTGATTACCATACATACTCATCCCCATTTATTTTCGTTATTTTATTTAAATTCTGATTTTTGGAATTTTTAAATATACTTCTAAATTATTTTTACAAATTCTTAAGATTTTTATCCTACTTAAGGATTGTCTTGTAGTGATACAATTTTTTGTTATTAAAAATAAAATAACCTGTTTATTGTAAATTTTTTAAAGTATTGATGTAACTTACTAAAAATTTGAACCAGTTGTTTTTCAGTTATGTTAAGGATAATTATCCTTAATTTTTTTATGCAATTATAAAATAAATGTAATATTGGATTTATTTTTATTATAATTGGACCACTTTTATAAATTATATAATAGATAAGTATTTATAATTAACATTTAAAAATCACTATAGCTCACATATCTGCTGAATCCATTATCATGAACCGATTATCTTTAATATACAAAGTTAAATAACTAGAAAACTACTATAGTTTGAATTCTAATTTTTATACTTCAAAATTTTTAGAAAAATTATCAGCTAAAAAACTTACTGTTTAAAAAGAAGGTTTTCGTTTGAAAAATAAAAGTTTGTATTTCCACAGAACTACTCAAGTAGTACAAAAAATCTCAAAAGTTTAAAAGCCGGTTAAGTTTTAAGTACATTTAAAAATTCCAAAATCATATTTTGAATAAAAGCATTATTGAATAATAAAAAGAAAATATATAAGCATGATTGGTGAATCACCCTGTATACATTTATTTATTGATGCCGTTGTTATTTGCGGGCGGTGCGTTTAACGCGTCGACGTTCACGATTGGCCCTGAACCGGACATTAACGCATCGTCGTTTTGTAATACGATCTGCTACTGCACGCATTTCCGTGCAGACAGCGAACTGACAGACTCTCACAATAAATCGAAATAATAAAATAATTGTTGCAAAAAAAAAAAAAAAACTATCCCTTTCAATGACGATTGTTTTTACCCTTTTTAATTTTTATTCTGTTATTTTCACGTTTATAGACGGTAATCGTGCATTTGCCTATGTATAGATATTAGACGATATAAAATATATATATATATTTTTTTTTTACTGTCAGTATTGTAGTTTAGGTAACAATTAGGGCTGGGATTTTGATGCAAAAGCATCTTTTTTTCTGGTGTTTTATAACGTTGATCTGTAAATATAAAATGTGTTTTGGTTGATACTGATTATTTTAAAGTAATTTTTTTATGTTTTTGCATTTTTTTAACGATTTTAATGGTTTTCTTAATTTTTAGAGCATTTTTCACAATTTGTTCATATAATGTACGAAAATTGTTGCGATTAACAAGAGACTTTTGGCAAACTGCCGACGGTACAAATAATAAATTATATAGCATATGTCAAGTTATCATTGATAACAATTTTTTTTTTAAATTATTATTTTAGAATTAATGATTAAGAAAATAGAAGTACAAAATAACTAAACAAGTAACAAACAATTGCATTAAAAAAAAAAAAAAAAAAAACGCTACTTGTGGTAGTATCATTAGAAATTTTTTTTCCAATTTTTACGCTATAATAAATATAATTGAAATGCATTTTAT